TCCTAAATGAGGACCCTTACATAACTCTCCTACAACATGTTACTGCAGTGTACAGCTGGTATTATCTGCAGCCGACTGGTTAAAACACATTAATAGAAAAGGTATCAAATCACTTGCACAAACTTGTCTTCAACATGAAAGGCAGCACATCTAACAACAAGTTAGTCAAATGGAAGCTCCACTCCATTTACACCTTCTACCTCAGTTGTTATCTGTCTGCTTTAATGATTCCTGGTGACCTTGCATGTGGTAAGCAGCCTCTCCAGAGTAGCCACATTTATTCAGCTCATCATTGGAGTGGGGAAATTGTACTTTGCTCATCTTAAATCATATTTTTAAAATCTGAACCCCTTCTTTGTAAAATAACCATGGTACACCATTTCTGCACTAGTTGGTTCCATATAAGAACACAGTCAAATGTTCAGAAGTGCAGATTTAATCGATTTGAAAAGGTTTATTAAGCTCCTGATTGTGGATTCTTTGGAAGGTCATTTATAATGCAATTTGGAAATTAGCTAGCTATCTCCAGCTTGTCACTTTTATTACCAAGATTCTGGAATCAATCATCTATCCACAGCTTCACAGCTGCGGCCACAAGACTGAGTGGCAACATATTAGTGCTGACTGATGTATTCCACTCCATTGTGAACTCAGCTTTGAGACTGCAGTTTTCTCAACAGCAATTTTCTGGTTCCAATTCTGCCTTGCCAGTAAACAGGCAGTAGTAAGAGGACAGTCGGAAACAAAATGTCTACAGGACCTCCACCCATACCAACTTCCAACTGGACCTCAGTTTAGGCAACCAGGATTCCCTCTGGAAACAGGGAACTCATTCAACTTCAGGTCAAATGTCATCATTATGATCCTGTCCTGCCAGCAACATGCCTCTGTCCCCTCATTCTGTGAATGCACAAATACCTGGATAGCTATTAGTGTGTAGTCAGCCTATTACAGTCTGACACACACACGGCAAAGCAAATACTTCACCTGTCCCCTACCTGATCTGTGCACCAGCACCAATTACTTTTCGCTCTTGTTCTTTCCAAGTCATCATACATTCTCATCCCTGTTTGTTTTCTTAAGATGTTGAAATTGACATCACTGTAGGATTTCTAACCCCAGGAACTCCTTACTTCAGATCCTAAAACTATGGACTTGCTTCCCTGTCTTTTGTAGCTGACAATATTGTTAACACAGACAATCAGCATCATCCAACCAGTATTACTTGATTTTTGCTGTACTCCATCTTCTTTTCAATTTGTGACTTTGCAACAAAAAAGAAAATAAAACATTATTTGTAAAGGGTGAGGAGTCAGATTATTTTAATGTACTTTTGTGTAGTTACACATATCAAGAAACACAGAAATATATTAACATTATGAGGAGACAGAAGAACATTTAGTCAACCTTTCAATGTTAGCTTCTTTCTCAATGCATTTGCACATTTGTACTTCTTAGTCCCAGGGAAAGTCATGTGATTCTGTTTTGTACAGTTTTTGCAGCATCAATTACCTTCCTGTAGTATAGAATAAACAACAGTTCAATATATTCTAAATGAGACCTTAAATCTTTTACATAGATTTACCACTATCTCTACGCCTTTGTATTTTATGTTTGTAGTAAAACTCCAAATTATATTTGCTTTATTGTGGATTTATCCATTGGTGTGATGACTTTAATTGTCCTGCAAAACCCTACCACAAATCTCTCTGGTCTTTCAGAGCAACAGGCTGACTTCCATTTAGTACCAAGGTGTATCTTCCCAGGCCTACCAACATGGGATCCAGTGTGCCACATTTTAGTCCATTCCCCACTTACAGAGGTCTGAAAGTAAGACACCTGAGCTGGAGAAGCATCCATGACATTGAATAAGTTGAAGAAGAAATAGAGTTCAGAATGTCAAAAAGAACTCAAAATAATGGAGAATAAACTATCATTAAAAAGGATAGGACTTGGATTGATGCCAGGCAATCAGTGTCCAGTGGAGACAACACAATATGGAGCTGGAGGAACACAGTAGGCCAGACAGCATCAGAGGAGCAGGAAAGTTGACATTTCGGTTCGGGCTCTTTCTTCAGAAAGAAGATAACATAACTAACAACATTGATTTAATGCAAAATGATAAGTTTTAAGACAACAGGTTACAGATAATCTTAAAGATTTTTAAAAACAGCATTAAAATAGTATGAAAAATAAACACTAAGATGAATAAATAAAAATTTCAAAAGGATTTAGTGTCAGTGATAGGTTGAACAGAACAGAAGATTGGATATTTCAGAGAAAACAGTTCTCAAGATATAGAATTGCTTCAAATTTAAATATCAAATCTGAAGATGAAGCAGTTTATATGTTATTGCATTCAGAAGGTCCATAGCGGATGATTTTATAAATCATCAAAGTATCAAAAATATATTGACAAAGTTTTAAAAACGTTTGAGAATTACTTCAATCTGTGAACTCAAAATTCTTGAAAATGCAAGATTTAACAGAAGAGTTCAATTTTGATTGGTGCTTTAATTAAAGACCGCTACAGATTAGCAGAGAACTCTGACTTCTGAGTTTTGAAAACAGATTTCATAAGAGACAGGTTTTTTTTGTTGGAATAATTCATGAATTTTGACAGATTTTGTACAGTCAAAAGAGAACTTAGCTTTGCAGAAAGCTGTTCAATATTTGCAGGAAGCAGAAATCAGAAAGATTCACAGCAAGATCCTGAGATAAAAATAACAACTTTATATTGGAAGAACAACTGAACATATTCACTTGATAACGTTCAGACTGTCTGAAGAGGCAAATATGAAGCCAGAGAGCAGTCAAAACAACAGCTGTTAAGATTAAGTGTCAGCATTGTGAAACAACAAAACTCCACAGGCACAGGCAACGCCTAGTTATTCTGAAAGAATGTTACGTATGTAAGACTTCTAGAAAATGCATAAGAGTAGGACAATTTCAGAGTATCAATAAAGTAAGATATATTTATTGTAATTCATTCACAGAATGTGTGTGTTACTGGTTAGGCCAGCATTTATTGCCCATTCCTATATGCCCAGAAAGCAACGTCAACCACATTGCTGTGGGTCTGGAGTCACATGTAGAACAGAACAGGTCAGGATGGCAGTTTCCTTCTCTAAAGGACATTAATGAATCAGATGGGCTTTTACCAACAATTGACAATGGTTCTCTGGTCATCATTAGATGATCATCTGCCAAGGTGGGATTTGAATCTGGGTCCCCAAGACATTAACTGTGTCTCCGGATTGACTAGTGATAATACCACTAGGTTATTGCCTCCCCTTACAAATACAAACTAGTTCATGTGGCAGCACCTTCTCCTTTAAGAAACATTTCTGTATTAGACAATAAACTATTACAAAAATTATTTTTTTGAGACATTCCTAGAGGAAATTAGTCATTCAACCAAAATTAATGATTCATCTGACTCATCATTAACAGATTTACATCAGAGGACATCTTGTTAATTTTTAGCTTAGTACAGGAATGAGTGTTAGTACCTGATCTGACAGATTAATATGAAAAAACTGAAATTGCAGCCTTCAAAGTTGAAACTATATGAATAAGGTGGAATAACTCTCAAGGTTAAAGGCATGCTACAAGGAACATAGTAACACAATGAGATTACGAGAATTGATTCATAATCAACATCCCTCACTTTTTACCCTGTGCACATGTCTTGGTTTTAACATCCTTGAAGAAGCAGAAGTGTAACTAGTTCTCTGAGAATAAATAGCTCCAAAACAAATTGTTGTCACTCAACCAGTCAAGGAGCAGCATGTAGAAAATTTCACTGAGCTCCCAGACCAATGAAGCAAAAAGATGAAAAAAAACATCAACTGAGGTTGCTTATGTTGGAAGAGAACTGTTTCATATTGTCAACAGGAAGGAAGTCACAGAATTTACTGATTATCAATTCCATTTTCACGTTAGATTCAAAATACCCCAGAAAGATTATGTAGTAATTGTAATGAGGTCAGCCAGGTGGACCTCAGAGAATATGACCTCCCTGATTGGGACTGTTAATCTGTTCCAATCAGGGAGCCCTAGCTGACAGATATAAACAGGAGTGTCAGACATCCTGCTCAGTCTGAGAGCTGGCTCTGGATCAGTGTCAAGAACTTTCCACATGTAAATAAAGGGGGATGGGATACCAGCCTCTCTAGAGTTATTTCAGATTTTTTGCTGAACAGGTTCAGTTTTTAGTATAGAATACTACTTAGAACAATGAGATGTGTGGAAGATTGCATCTAATTTTAGAATTGTCATCCTTATGGGCTAAGATAATCTACAAGTATAAAATGGCTTCAAATTCCTAACGAGTTCTTTGAGAAGGCCCGTAATTTTCCCATCTCCCTCTTTTATATTAATTTCTTTACAACTGTGCATAAATATCTCCTTCCAAATTGAATAACATTTCTGTTACAGAAGGAACTACAGATTCCAGAGATTGAGCCTCAGCTTTGACTATATACAGGTTGATTAAAGTGTCATCACAAGGGATTCTGTTTATAAACCTGTAGGTCATAGAATTAAAGATCATTGTAGCATCATTAGCTATTGGGCAAAATGGGCACACAGTCTTTTGCTCTGTGTATATTGTATCAATCTGAGATAAATAAACTAATGAGTTCTGATCGGAAGGGTACAGTGAGAAAGTGAGAAGGAGAGACTGACCTGAAAGAAGAAACAAAACCATGATCTTTTCTTGTTCTTATTTTGCTTTGGTTATGTTCCTCATAATCTGTTTCATCCACTTTTCCACTGATAGATAGAAATGTCTTATCACTTATTGTGTATCTTTGCATCTCCTGAATAAGAGACTGTCTTTTCACAAAATTGAGAACCACCAATGGAAAGAGTTCAAAATAACCTAAACAGGTAGTTGCATGGACAGCTTAGGATGAATCTTTGTGCCGACTATCCTTCACAAGTTGAGAGCAGTAGCTTAAAGAAGCTGCTAGAATATAGGTTCACAAAGCACTGACCTGAAGTTCCACTCCATATCCTCTGTAGACTGTAATAGTATAGATGCAGTCCAAGTTGCTGTAGTACAGGTGACTGAGGTATTCTGGAGACTCAATGTAACCCTCAAAGTCTGTGAAATTTAAACTGCAAGGAACTGGAAAGGAAAACGAACAAAGGAATTAGCACTTGTAAAGCACATTCTGGGTCTCCCTTGATTCCATTTCACTTTCTATTCTGCACAAAGTTGACTCCTTGAAAGGGTTCATTGTGCAGATCAATAACGATCTTTCGTCCCCATTGACGGCAGTGGAATTGCTGAAGTGTGACTCATCACAGCCAGAGACAGTTTTCACATCACTTTTTTGGGAGTGTTGGCTTATTTCCTCATGATCTTAAACATGGAAAAGTCCCACAGGAGATTTCAAACCGTCCAAAGTATTAGCACCACATTGCACTAAATGTTTCCTCATTTTGGCCTTTATCTCTTACAATCAATACTGAACATTATCCTTTCACAGTTTGTTCACCTAGTAGCAATGTTCAAATAAAATTGCAAAGAACATCTTTAAGCAGGAGCCTAACTTTATTAATTCCCCTTTATAAATTAAAAGTTGTAGTGAAACAAAACATTACATTTTTCACAATGATAGGATATGAATTTACATCCGAATAGATTTTGTTACACAGCAGGGCAGTTAGCTACCATCAGTGATAAAATTAGAACCATCTAATTTGGTTCTGTTTTTTTCTCCGTAATCCTTCGCATTTTTTCCCTTCCACAAGAGTTCATCCTTCAAACTAATAATATTATGACAATTATAATTGAATGATATGTCTTCATTATAAAAACATGGATAAGCATTTGAACAACTTGATTGAAATGTCGATTAAAAAGGTGCATAGTATCGCCAAAATTAAATTGGATTCCCAGAACAACAGCTCGTGAAGAATTTTAAGATATAGGAAATAAGTACTTGTGTGCGTTTGTGGCTGAATGGCAGTGCCCCTACCTCTGAGCCACCAAGCCCAAGTTCAAGTCCCACCTACTCCAGGGAGTTATAATGACATCACTGATCAGGTTAATTAGAAGATCATAGAATCATTGAATCCCTACAGTGTGGAAACAGGCCATTTGGCCCAACAAATCCACACCGCCCCTCCGAAGAACATCCCACCCAGACCCATTCCCCTAATTTCCCATGTCTAACCCACCTAACCTAATATATTTAAAAAGTTGCATTGACTGGGAATCTCACTGAGCTTGCATCCAAAAGAGAAAGAAATAAAATTAATCTACTAGTCTGAGTTATAAGGAGAGCTGGATAGGTTGGGACTTTTTTCCTGGAGAGCAGGAAGCTGAAGGGTGACCTTATACAACTTTATAAAATCACAAGGTACATAGATAAGGTGAATTGCCAAGGTCTTTTCCTGGGGTGTTGGGAGTCCAAAACTGGACAGCATAGATTTAAGGTGAGAGGGGAAAGATTTAAAAGGGACCTGATGGGAAACAGTTTTACACAGGGGGTGTTGTGTATATGAAATGAACTGCTAGAGGAAGTGGTAAAGGTGGGTACAATTACAACATTTAAAAGATATTTGGACAGGTTACGGATAGGAAAGGTTTGGAGGGACATGGGCCAAATGCTGGCAAATAGCATTACTTCAGTTTAGGAAACCTGGTCGGCATGGAGGAGTTGGACTGAAGCATTCATGCTGTGTGACTCTATGACTCTAAGTACTGTCCATCTTAGTATGCCATCATTAACTATCAGGTCATATTTAAGTGAGAACATGATCAGTCCACCCTGATAACCGTTGACTCTGTTGTTAGTCGAGAAACTATCTACCTCTGCCTTGAGTATATTCAATTCCTTCACCATTCTCTGGGGAAGAGAGTTTCAAAGAGAATACGTTTCTGCTCATCTCCATCTTAAATGGGGGAACCCTTATTCTTAAATGGTGTTGCTTAGTCCATGACTCTCCCGAAGAGAAAACACACATTGACCTTATTAAGTCCCCTCAGGTCTTACACAGTTCAATAAGACCACCATTCATTCTTCTATACTCCAAAGAATACAGACTCAGTTCATTCAACTTTTCTACATAAAATCACCTTTCTACTCCTTGTATTAATTCTGTGAACCTTGTCTGAACTGCTTTTAACATAATTATATCTTTCCTGGAATACGGACACCCAAATGGTAAACAGTGCTTCAGACATGGCCTTATCAATGCCCTGTCGCAAAACGTCCCTACTTTTATATTTCAAACAGGCTAAGCTGCAGATCAATCAGGATCTAATTGCAGGGCTGAGTAGCCTACTCCTATTTCTATAATCCTATTGCTCACCATGACTTTGAAAGCTGACACCCAGTATTTTAATATTTAGAGTTCATAATTCTGGTTCAGCCGCATATCTCTCGCACTTGGTTCAATTTGATCTGATCATCTTGAAATCAAATATCTAAATTCCATGATTGTTTTGGAGTAATGTTTCTTTTCCAAAACTTAAATACTTTGCTGCATTAAAATGCTCAACATATTTCACTATGGGCACATCATTCACATAAAATATAATCAAAATGGTTTTGAAAAATTATTCCTTGGAATTTTGAAATACTGTACTGGTCCTTAGAACTGCAATAGCAGTGAATATTTATATTATTTGCAGAGAAATTATACGTACATCATTTAATCAGTGTTTGCTCTGACCTCAAAGTAAGGCCATTAGAACTAGGAATAGGAATAGCCAATTCAGACCCTCAAACGTGCTACACAATTTAACACGATCGTGGCTGATTTCATCTTGGCCTCCACTCTACAATTCTACCCTTTTCCCAAAACCTTTCAACCTCTTTACTAATTAAAAATGTTGATCTCCTCTTCAATTTATTCTCTGTTTCCAGCATCCAGTGCACTCTGGGATAGTGAATTTCATAGATTCACAATCTTGCGAGAGAGGTAAATCTCTGTTTTAAGTTTGCCAGCTCTTAGCCTAAAACTAAATGACAGAGGGAATCTTTTCCTAAGCTCATATGTTTTGCCAAGTTAGACCTACTAGTCACACAAGGACCTGAAGAACCCATGACCAGTGACACAGAACTTCCTAGATGGACAATCATATTCATTGGCAAGTGATTCCTGACGATGGCAACTGCTAAAATAAAGAGTGAGCTTATACTTGTTTGTTTGTAAAGTTTAATATCTGATCAAACTTTTACTTTCAATAATCAGCATCTTGCTCATTACTCCCATCAGATGTGAATTATCACTCTAATTTGCATTGATGTTGCAGGCTTTAGTTTCATAGAATTTGATTTTTTCATTGTGTAGTCAGTGAAAGATGTTTCAAATATTCAAAACCACATTGGAGGACCTTCAGTCATTCAAGATGATGTTTCAAATTTAATATGCAGAGACCTTCATGGAAAATTTGAAAGCGAATGCCAGGATCAATCTGGGCAGCACATCTAAGGAAGGGCGCTTTTAGCTTGGTTGGAATGCAGAGTGGAAGATATCAAAATGATACCTGGACTCTAAGGTTGAAATGATGAGCACAGATTACAGAAACTAAGATTGAATTCCTTAACATTGCAGGGGTTAAGGGTGATTTGATCAAAATTTCAAAGATATTAATGAGAACAGACAGGATAGATCGAGAGAAAGTATTTCCCATGATTGGAGACTAGGATTACATAGTATAACCGAAGAATTAGAGCCAGGCTTCACAACAGTGAAATACTGTATTTCCACAGACAAAGTGTGGTAGAAGCTTGGAATTTGGTTCTGCAAATGGCAATGTTTGGCCGATCAGCTGTTAAACGGAAATATGAAATTGATAGATTCTTGTTAACTAAGTTATTAAGGGATTTGGGTCAAAAACTAGTTCATATGGACATTCTTCGCTGATCAGTTCTGACCTCATTGAAAGGTGGAACAGCCCAAAGGGGGCGACACTTCCATGACACATTCAAATTACTTGATTCAACACAAATGAGAAACAGCAGCGGTCATAAAGCCTGGCCCTTCTGAAGTTGATTGTATCGATTGTCTACCAAATCAAATTGCATGTCAGGATAATTTCTTTCCTTATTGTTCATTTACTTTAATTCCCTGAGCGCAGATTTGAAGCATTGTCTAGAGCCAAAATAGAGGCCCTATCTTTCTCATAAAACTCTGCAAATGCAGCTCATTAACTCAGAAACTTTCCCACTTAGGCATTCCCAGTTGATACTGGGTCAGCAGCTGGCTATTACATTAGCATTGAATTCTGATGATGCTGCTTAGCATTCTAATGCAGCTACGAATTGATGACTTGCTCTTAATTTGTCCTGGCATTGCCTATTAAACCTCAAATGATGGTACTGGGCTTTTTTTTCAATCAAAGCAGAGAGCTTTTCTTCTGTGATGCCAGCTTGATCTCTCAGGTGCCTCCTGCATTAAAAGTAATCAGCCAAATTTTCCATGTCCTCTATTCTTCCCGAGTGCTTGATTCCTTGCAGCGTAGAGATCACAAGGACTTATACTTATCTCAGTGCAGCAGTGACTAAAAGGATAGGGAGAGCAGTATATGGATCGGAATATCATTTTTGCTTCTCACACAAAGTTCATTGAAGGTCAAAGGTTTCAAATAATTCACAGTTTTAATTATGAAGTGCAGAATACATATTGTGGCTGTTGTACATAAAAGCAAGAATTCTAATGGATCTAATTAAAGTGCAGGATAAGCTGAGCACTTAGATTACCTTATGGTCACTTAATACCTCACAGAATGTGCATCTTAACACTAAAACCATTAGTAGTTGGTTTGATGAGTATTTCTTGGAGGAAGTTGTTATTTTTGTGCACTCAGACCTGAGTTAGAAACTTAAATGTAAAATGTAATTTCCACATTCCTTTTTGCTGTCATGCAAGAAGTTTGAATTCTGATCCTTTTGAGTATCTTGGACCACAACAGCTCTATATCAGAGAATCAGAGTAAGGGTACTGGGGCACAGGGATTATGTCACTGGATGAATAATCTGAAGCCAAGAGTTCAAATCCTATCATAGCAGTTTAAGATGAATTCACTTAGCCAGGTGCTAGACAGTGGTTCAATTGCTGTATTGGCAATGGTAGTTTAGAGAGGACTGTTTCCTTGCCTTACCTCACACTTAGAGTCATAGAGATGTACAGCACAGAAATAGACCCTTCGGTCTAACTCATCCATGCTGACCAGATACTCTAAATTAATCCAGACCCATTTGCCAGCATTTGGCCCATATCCCTATCAACCCTTCGTCTTCATGTAGCCATCCGGATGCTTTTTAAATGTTGTAATTGTACCAGCCTCTACCACCTCCTCTGGAAGTTCATTCCATACACATGAAAAAGTTGCTCCTTAGGTCCCTTTTAAATCTTTCCCCTCTCACCTTAAACCTATGCCTCTTATTTTGGACTCCCCCAACCCAGGGAAAAAACCTTGACTATTCACCCTATCCATGCCCTCATGACTTTATAAACCTGAATAAGGTCACACCTCAGCCTCCAACATTCCAGGGAAAATAGCTCCAGCCTATTTAGCCTCTTGCTGAAGCTCAAACCCTCCAAAGCCTGGCAAATCTTTTCTGAACTCTTTCGAGTTTAACAACATCTTCCCCTTAGCAAGGAGACCAGAGTTCATCACAGTATTCCAAAAGTGGCCTAATCCATGTCCTGTACAGCCACTACATGACCTCCCAACTCCTATACTCATGCACTGACCAACAAAGGCAAGCATACCGAACACCTTCTTCACTACCCTGTCGACCTGCAACTCCACTTGCAAGGAACTAAAAACCCGCACTCCAAAGCCTCTTTGTTGGGCAACACTCCCCGGGATGTGATCACTCCACTTGATATGGACCAAGATATATAACCAATGTTCTCTGTACAAAGAAGATAGATTCCTACTGTCTGTTTTGGACTACTGCTAATTACCTTACCTTAGAGTATACGGTAGAGCTCCCTTTAATCTAGAATAAGTATCACAACTGAGAATGTTCACAAGGATCTAGGTCATTGTTGTTTTATAAAGTAATGGTTCTGAAAGGGTTAATGCTTAAAAATGAATTAAGGTCCATCTAACCTGATGGTGTTATAAGGACTTGGATGGGGAAGGCAGAAGGTCAAAATCATGGAACTCAGCCTCTAATACCCCCTAAATTACCAGAAGGACTGCAGTGATTCAAGAAGGAACTTCATGACTGGCATCTCAAGGGCAATAAATGCTGACCTAACCAGTGATGTCTATATCACATGGATGGATGGATAAATAGTAGATCAATTGTGAATCTTAAAGGAGACAGATGTACCATCTGGTCTCTTCACCATCTTTCTAACAATGTCTGTAACACCAATGTAACTTGTACCTATCATGCAACAAACTACACCTTGTTTAAGACAGGAGCAATTCTCATTAGAATACATCTGGATTCTATTATACCAAACTATACACTACCAAATAGTTCCTGTAGAACCCAAGCTAAAAAGAGGATAGTGGCAGCGAATGTACTTTCTGGTGTTGAAGAATCCAGGTGGCTCACCTAACATGGTAGCAGCTCTAGCCACCTAAGGATTCCATTTAGCTGCACCATTACAACATGGTAGACAGAACTACAGATTGGAATCTGATTCAGCTGTACAGAATGAATTCCAGTGAAGTCAGAAATTTCCACTTACATCTTCAAGAGTGTTTCAAAGAGACTGTCAGCAGCAGAAGGAGCTGTACAATCTTTTTAAGCTATTTATTCATGAGGCATGGGTGTCACTGACTGGGCCAGCATTTGCTGCCCACCTCGAACTGCCTCTAAAAAGGTGGTAGTGATCTGCCTTCTGGAACCACTGCAGGCCATTTGGCGTAGGTGGATGCACAATGATATTAACAGAAGTTGTTCCAGGATTGTTGACTCAGCGACAATGAAGGAACAGTGAAATATTTACAAGTCAGGATGGTGAGTGGTTTGGAGGGATACTGACAGGTGGTCATGTTCCCATTTACCTGCTGTCTTTGTCCTTCCAAAGGGTTGTAGTTATGGGCTTGGAACGTGCTGTCTAAGGAGCTTTGGTGAAATTCTGCAGTGCATCACTTGCTAATGGTACATAATACTGCTATTGTATGTTAGCGGTGGAGAGAGTGAATGCTTGTGGACTTGGTATCAATCAAGCAGGCTGCTTTGTCCTTAACGGTGTCAAACATTTTGAATGTTGTGGGAGCTGCATTCATCCAGACAAGTGGGGAATGTTCCATCACAATCCTGACTAGTGCCTTGTAAATGGTAGACAGGCTTTACTTACTGGTGGATTCCTGGTCTATGATCTACTCTTGTAGCCATTGTATTTGTATGGCTAATCCAGTTTAGTTTCTACTCAAAGGTAATCCTCAGGATGTTGATAGTGGAAGATTCAGTGATGGTAATGCCACAGAATATCAAGGGGACATAGTTAAATTCTTGTAGATGGCCATTGCCTGGCACCTATGGGATGCAAAAGTGATCAGCTACATGTACCAGTCCAAGATGAATATTGTCCATCTTGCTGCAATTGGACATAAACTGCTTTCATCTCTAAGAGACGCTAATAGTGCTGAATATTGTGCAATGACAAATGAAGCTGTCCAAGGCACTTGTTGTAACTACAGATCACTCCAAAGCATTTACCTCCAACACCTGATCACAGCCCGGGAATGGGGGGAGGGCAGATAAGAGTGCTTTGGGGAATTGTGGGCAATGGGACTGGATATCATGGGATTTGACCTATTTCAATAAACCTCTTAAGGATGGCTTCTGATGGAAGGAATAAAACTAAATTTTACTGAGTTGCAACATTTTAATTTATTTGCTAGCGATAAATTACATACACATTCTGGAAATATGCCCTCTGTACAAGGGAGGTCAGTAGATAAGCTACCTCAATTCATTCACAAAAGTACAGGTCAGTCCTCGAGCTATCCTATAAAAAAGGGGACAATATCTACATTAAAATATGATACTTTTAGGCCACTCTCCACGTCTAAACTTCAGTATTGAGGATATCTAATTCAATCCAAACAGTGTTTGAAGGAATTAGTTTCATTTGTTTAAATAAATATTTTCCCTAACATGGTCCCTAATATTTCAGCTTTCACAAATTGTAATTTATGCAACTTCAAAGCTGTTGGAAAGCTCTTATAATGTTGTGAAATAATAAGGATACTGTTAACTGGTGACATTCTGCCCCTTGTCACACACATTTCATTGACTAATATGGATTTAATATGGGGTTAATAACGTATAAAAGCAGAGGCTTTATGCTGGTTTAACATATAATTAAAGTACACGATGAGCTGAACGTTTTTTTTTTATTTCTTCATGGGATTTGTGTGTTTATGAAAAGACCAGCATTTATTGCCCATCCCTGATTGCTATTGAGGCGACGATGCTGAGCAGCCTAAGTGGTTTGCTAGGTCATTTTGTAGGGACATTAAGAAATCAACCATATTTCTGCATGTCTGAGTTTCATACTGTCACCTCTTTCTGAGCAGAAAGAAGTTTCTTCGCAGCTCCTTACTTAATTGCTTGACGACTATGTTGTATTAATGTCCTTGCTTTTTGCATTTTCCCACAAGGGGAAACATTAAACTCCGTGTCTGCTTGAACAACATCTTTCATAATTTTAAAGGCCAGTAATAGACGAACCTTCGACCTATTTTCAAGAAAAACAAGATGCTACCTGTTCCTTCTGTATCTCCACTGATTCAAAACTATTGAGGAACTAACTATATATCTGTTATATACCAATGGTGAGTTAGAACCTGTGCACATTTATTGAAGGAACATCCTACTTTATTAATACATTCTCTTGGCAAACTACTCAAATTTAATTCTTCCAGATTTAGAATTCTAGAATGGACAACTCATTTTGTCATAATTCGGCTTCTCCAAATGTACTTTGCTTCAAGGGTTTAAAATACAAAGCACCTTTTACTCCAAGGCACAGTTCAAACTAATTTAATTGTAAACCTGATACTGCTGACCCAACTTGGCAGATTTGAATATTTCCTTTGCAGGTTCTAAAAATGCAGTTGAGGACAGAGCACACAATGATTGCACGCAAATGGTATCACACGGGTAATACAGTACCACTGAATGAATATATGCTTTTTCTATCGTTTTTATTGGAGAAAAATTAATGAAAAATACCATTTTGAAAATCCAAACAGAACAGAATTGCTTGCAATTGGATTTTTCTGCCTTTATACAATTCCCTCAAGGTCTGTTGTGAAGATTGATTGCTGTGGTTCAGCAACAACTTCTCGTATCACTGTATCACGTGATAGAAGGCAATCTCACCAGACCTTGCTTTTTTTTCCTCATCTAGCAATCCCGTGCTCCTGTATTCAGTGTGATTAGGATATCCAACCTGGTTTGTAATTTATCCTTGCTCAGCCACAGAATAACCCTTTAGTGCCAGATCACACCAACTTGAACTGAAATCTTTGTGCGACCTATATTTAAAGTAGACTATAGTTTTACAGCAATAGTCACCACGATTTATTCTGTATAAAAACTAACGGAACTGCGGATGCTGTAAATCAGAAACAAAAATAGAAATTTTCTTGAACCATGAATACTGCGGCAAAGATACAAGGTGAAAAAACAGAACTAATCAGAAACGAAAATAGAAATTGCTGGAAAAGCTCAACAGGTCTGGCAGCATCTGTGCACAGAAATCAGAGTTAATGTTTTGGGTAGCCCTCTTTAAAACTGAGACCTGAATTGTTAACTCTGATTTCTTTCCACAGATGCTGCCAGACCTGCTGAGCTTTTCCAGCAATTTCTATTTTCGTTTCTGATTAGTTCTGTTTTTTCACCTTGTATCTTTGCAGCAGTATTCATGGTTCAAGAAACTTCCCATGATGGGTTGGAGAGGTCCTGGTGTTTAGAGTCAGATCACTGCTAGAGAGGCCAACATGCCCTGTTGCATTGAGCAGGTAGATTAAGAATGACGTGTGGGGAGAGGGAAAGTGAAGCACCTTAAATGCACTATCCTCACTCTTTATTGCTAAAAATAAAGTAATTTTGTACCTGGTGTCTGCACAGTTGTAATTATTGTTGTGGTAATGATGGTTGTAGTTGTAGTTTCCTCATCAGTCTCGCTAGCAACTGAGGAGACGGTTGGGTCTGCAGCAGGATTGTGATGCTGCTCAGTATTCAGTCCTTGCATTTGATGTGTGCCTGCTCCGACTGTTGGGGTAATGGCTGTTGGAGGGTTTCCAGTCACCGCAGTAGCCACTCCTTGGTTGCTGAAATGTTGGAAGATACCAGATTTGCTCTGAGGCTCTCCTGTTACAGTTGAGGGGCGACCAGGCTCAGTTTGAACAAATGCAGTAATGCTATTTGGGAACGCAGTTTCAGGCAGCTCAGATGTAGCTGAGCTCACAGCAGATGTTGTGAGAGAATCTGTGGTGGCAACCATTCGCAACATTGGAGGAGTTTTCCCTCCTTGTGTTACACCAGTATGGTCAGCCAAAGGAGCAGCATCTGTTGCCAAAGATGAAGAAGTGCCCAGTGTTGTCATTGGAGAGGTTGAGGCCATTGTAGTTGTGGTTATGTCAGAAAAAAATGGAGTGTCATTGGTGACTACATGATGAACCAAAGGATCTTGAGGTTTTTGTGACTGAGTAGCAGGAAAAGTAGCACCAATTCTCATTCCTATCTTATTGGTAAAAAGTGGTTCCTGACCAAGGAAATCCTTCTTCAGTAATGTCTCATGAATGATTTCTTCAAGCAGGGGATGATGGTTGTTGATGTTGATATTGGGCGTTGTACTAACAAAATGAAATTTATCTTCTGGTTCAGTAGTTGTAGCCGTCGTCCATACAATTTCTGTCTTGTCATTGCTCTTTCCTTTCCCACTTACAGTATTCAGATCTTTGGACAGGTCTTTAAAAAACAAAACAATAAGAACATGAGTAATTTGAGGATGATGGAGAGGAATACAATTTTAACTTCAGAACAATGATGACTGCATTTCAAATATCGTTTGTCGGCTGTGAAGTTCCTGAGACATTTAAGGTGAAATATAAATGCAAATTCCAATAGATCTTTATCAATCCAACATGCATCAAAGTCTACTTCTTTATCTTCCTACTCTGAAAAATGTCAAGTAGCAGTACAAATACCTCAATAACTTCAATCGACCTTCTAAGAATTATTGATCTAACTCACAGATATTGCCTCAACTATCAGTTGTGCAAATGCGTCGACAGCTCAATTTTTACGTGAGGAGCATATTTTTCTAGTCTTTATCCTTTAGGGCTTCCAATAACTCTGGCAAATTGCTCTGTACAATGTTGTTATGTGGGCAGACAATATTTGTAAGCTTTGATTAATACTCCAATTCTGGATTCAGTACATTGTTATAGGTATAAATTGAAACCATACAAGTGATTTTTGAAACTTAAGGACTATGTACGTACTGGACTATAGCATTCACTTTTCACAATGGGATGACAGCTCTTTTCTCCTTGATGGATGTAAGGATCTCAAGTGTTTTAAAATTCCAGTGGATATGGAGATTAATGTCATAAGCAATCATATTATATTTAATGAGACAACAAGGTGCAGGGCTGGATGAACACAGCAGGCCAAGCAGCATCATAGGAGCAGAGAGGCTGACGTTTCGGGCCTAGACCCTTCATCAGCCTTTT